GATAAGAACTGATTCTGACCATTTTCAAAAATAGTTGTTTTGGAATAATTGAATGTGAAACTTTTTGAACAGTTTCCCACAGACGGCGCCAATGGTGGTGGTAAGTCCCGTAGATCCGAAAGCCCAACACGAACTTTGGATATATCAGGAATGGACCAGAATCAAAGTGTATAACAAAATATAAAATATGAATCCACTAATACCCAAAAGCCCACTTGTATTAATTAACCTGTCTGATTACAAGGAAAACTTCCCGATCGGTAGGTCGGAACAATGCTTTAATACAGGAAACAAAAGTAATAATGCTATTCTAGATCTTGAGTATTGAAATGCTCACCCTTACAATGATTTTAAACCTTCTATTTATACTAATGGAGAGCATGGGCTGCTCTATGCTGATTGGCCGTTGCTCCACCGACTTGATCACCCATGTTTCCACTTGCTGATGTCACAATATGACATTAATTGCACCTGGTCACTTGCTGATTGCCCGTTGCTCGAACGGGATGCTGGACCTTGCGGATGACGCTGTCAATTTGGCCCAAGTATGTTATATGGTCCGAACCCTGTTCGGTATGGATTCTTTACTGGGCCTGCTCATCATAGAGCAATGGACCCGTTGTTTGGGCCGGGTATCCTGGGCCTTTTTGATCCGGGTATTGGGCCTCTGGATCAATATCCCAACAAAACAGTCAGCTTTTTACCAAAACAACTACCACATTTTCTTTTTAAGATCATTTCAGTCACTAGTCACTAAAAGCTACTCCCTCAGTCCCGCTAGAAGGTTCCCGTGAATGGTTTACGATGTTTGACTGTCGATAAAGCAACTTAATCCCTGTTCACAATCTGTTTATTTTTAGTAAATAAAATTAACATATTCAGAAACTAAATTAAAACCGCTACAAAGTCTGATAAAAAATGTAAATTTGGCAAAAATTTGATTTATAAAGTAAAAGATTAAAAATGATTTAAGTTGACCATGAGAATAGTGGACGGGAACCTTCTAACGGGACGGAGGGAGTAACATTTATTAAAAAGCTCACAAAAGTATTTTTTCAGCTAGTTGTGCCAAACATACCCTGAAATTCGCTAATGCAACATGTATGAAACTGTATAGTTGATGGGCACTATTTGTTAATGTCGAAGTATGTTATAGACTATTTTATTATTGCTTGTTTGTTGTTTTTACTTATTTTGTTTACTTTAGATTTCATTACTTGTGTAGTTTGTATTATTTGTGGAAATTGTTGTAAAGGGATGGAAGATAGTATGATAGAAGCAAAAGAATGCAAGGAGAAGCATGAAGATATGTGCTAGTACAAAACCCGATCGGGTTGGAACAAAACCCGATTGGATAGGGGGTAAGAACTGATATATGAAGCTACTAGCAGGAAGCTAATAGCCAAAACCCTGTCGAATTTTTACTCAACCTGGTTGGGTTTGATGAGATGACACCAGACAATCAGACGTGCCGATGGTTAAAGAAACATGAGAAATCTGATTCAGTACGACACCCGACTGGGTTTACTCTAAATATGATTGTGATTGATGTGATTTCATCAACTTCTCGGCAACTACAAGATACTCGGTCGGGCACCCTGCAACGTCCAAACACTTCTAACCACACCACTTTCTATTCTGATTTTGATATCCATCATCTCATATACTTAAGCTTAGTTTAGATAAGTGTTTTTTATATTTCTTTCATGTGTAGTCTCCAAATGAGGCTTAAATTCCTTATTCTTTTGCTACTTTGAAACTTGTTGAATGTTAAAGCTGTGAGTTATTTTCTTAACTTTCTTTCTTCAGTATTAACTCTTCCCTGCTCATATCTTTATATTAACGTTGGGGTGTTGCTAAGTGATGATCAATACACGCTTTAACATTAATTAATACTAGAAACGATCAATGAATCGCGGTTAATCGATGATGATTTCACAAGTAACTTTAGATTATTAATGCATTCCTTTCTTGATTAATGATTTAAAAGGGAATCAAACAATTAGATTGATTAAATTAATAAAACACATGTATTGAGGTTGTCAATCTTAATTGATTTTATCAAGAATTTGAGTGATCAAACGTTAGTAGTAAAGGTTGTTAATGAACACCTTGTTATCAATTACTATACTTGATGAATTTGAAACACTCCACAATTGAGTATTCGAGAAGGGATAATTAAAGAAATAATCAGGGTCAATAAACATTTTAACAAGTGGAAAATAGTAAAATCAAGTCTTTAACTCATTGAATTTCAATCACATAATTGGTTCATCTTAGTGATATAATTTTCTCAAGTTCAAACAATCTTAAAATCCCTCTTTAGTTACGATTTCACATAAGATAAACAATTTTCTCTGCGAATGAGAACAATACTTCATTATATTAAGGTATTAGTGCAAATATTAAATTTATTTTGAGACGCACAACTACATTCATGTCGTCAATTGTTTTGCATGATAGTATGTGATTTAAGGATATATTGACATTGAGAAATAATTCCATACCTATCTAAATACAATAACAAAAGAAATCTTCTCAAGGAAGATAGCACCAAAATTGGGTCAGGCGTAGAAAGGACAGGAGGAGTGGCAGAACCAAATCAGACATCATACCCCATAGGGAGAGCCTTCGGCATCATGGTCGAAGGCCTCAAACTCAAGAATGCCACCACTTTTTGGCCCAACAACACAACTGGAAAAATCGGTCTTGAGCGTCAGCCTCCGGCACACAGCCTTCGGTCGCGGTGCCGAAGGCCCCCATTCTCGACAGAATCTATCCTTTGCTCAACGCCCAACCACCGCATTAAATGCGGTGCCACGTGCCAGCACCCCTCAGCTGGGGGCTCTCCGTCATAGACTAGCTTACACGTGTACATGCATTTAATGCACATAGCATTTATGACTAGTATAAATAGCACTCCTTGGGCGGTTGTAACGGACCATTGGTTATTTAGGGTGTTGCTCGGTGCATCTCTATTTTTACTTAATGTATCTCTAATAAGACTCATTTGTCCTTTCTATATTTGAAATTACAATTACTGCAAGTTAATACAGAGTATGATCCGTATGAGTTCACCCCATTACACTATCGATTCAAATCTATTTTAAAATTTACTCTTCATCTACTAGTTTTCATCCATGTGGCAAATAATTACTCTAGTATTATTTTGGTAAAACATTATAACTTTTTTATTTGTATTCCATTTTTTACAAATGAAAATGTCAAATTAAATAACTTTTTAAGATCTTTCATATGACACCAATATATATCTAAAAAATTTAAAAAGAAAATTATTTTGATTGGGTAAGTTTAAGTCTAAGTAATGGACGGTGAATGTGTATTTTAATATAGTTCAAGTCTGATTAAATTTGACCTTATATGATTTAATTACTCTAATCTAACCTGATCTGATTTGTTTAAATCTGACTTGATCTGAGATCAAAATCAATGCAATTAAAAACATTCTAAATGTCATTTACAACTTCACATGTATGTCCATAAATATAAATATATGACTTTAATCCTATCTAGAATTGCACAAAGTAAAAAGAAAATGTTTTTTTTATAATGTATCAAATAATAAATCTATCAAATAATAAAACTCACACGGATGACATTAGAATAAAGACAATAATCAATGTAAAGATGAATGATAGAGTATATGTTTGACCATCCAAATATTGTCGAACATTGTATGCAACAAATTTAATAAAACATAAAAAGAAAAAACTAAATAAAAATAGTGAGATAGATGAATTAAGAATTGAGATAAATAAATAGAAATATAGAAATTACTTCAAATAGGACTAAAACAATGGCAAAAACTCAAAAAAGGATTTGCTATGTTTTTATTCCGAAATAGGACCATATGAGTCCTATTTGGAAACATACTTATTTTTACCTTCCATTCTTACTCTTTCATTAAATATGAGTTAAAAATAGTCAAAAGCCATAATTAAATGTTTAATTCATAATAAATTCTAAAAAAATCAAAAATTCGTAGAAAAATGATTAAAAAATTTACAAAATATTTATAAATAAAAAATTCAAAAAACAATTTTTTTTAAATTTTTTTTTTTAAAAAATATTAATTAAAAACAGTAAAACTCCATAAAAAATTAAAAAAAATATGGATGCCTTTCCCACCGCCTGACCGCCTGTACTACCTCCCTGCACCACCACCTCCGGCCAGTGAAAAAAATGTCATTTTTCCTAAAAAATGTCATTTTTTCTGAAAATGCCAAAAAAGTGGCATATTTCTGTTTGCGAATGCCAACATTTTCATTATTTTCTGCCATAAATATGGCATTCGTAATGAACTTGGAATTTTTTTCCCCTGGTGACTGGAGGTGGTGGTGCAGAGGCGGCAGAGGCGGCGGTGAATTTAATTTTATTTTATTGATTTTTTTTTTTGTTTTTTTTATTTTTTTTATTTTTTGAAAAAAATTAATTAATTAATTATTATTATAAAAATATTTTTATTAGTTTGTTAGTATTTTTTACGAATTTTTATTATTTTTTATTATTTTATTATGAATTAAAACATTTCAATAGCTAGAAGGGTATATTTGTCCAAGACACACATAATTAGTCCTATGAAAACATAGTTTAGTTTTTGGTCCTATTTGTGCAAAGTGAGTCACTTTTAGTCCTATTTTGATAATTAACCCATAGAAATAATTACACATTTATGACTAACATAAATGCACCGTTTGGATAGCAGCGGTTTACACAAACCGCTGAAAAACAAAAATATGACCAATGACTAGAGTAGTAATGGAATCATAGTAACTTATATTCAATATTTCAACGTAATTAACCATGACACTACATTGTAGTAACTATTAGAGCAACCACAATGCTAGGATGTCTAGTCTCTATTAATAATGCCAAATGTCAAAAAATTAAAAGGGCTTCTAATCCACATAAGAAGTAGTGGAGTGAGCCGATAGTGGAGAATGAAATAATCCCCCAATGCACCAAGTCTTCCGGCCCATCAAAACTGCCATGTGGAATAAAATAACATTAAAATAAATGTAAATTATTTTTTGCCAAACAACTTCCCTACGTAACCAGGTACTCGTAGTTTCATATCATCTGCTTCTACTTCTCGCATCATCTCCAATTGCTCTATTTCTGATTTAATCGTACAAGCAAAAGTTGATAGCAGGTAAATCACTATCATGTATTCATTTTCTTCTTAAATAATATGTAAAGAAAATTAAATTCCAATTTTATTTAGGTTTCAACTTTCCGTTATGATCGAAACAAGCTCCTGCCTCTTTCTCTATTTCAGCCCCATCCATTGAAGTTATTCCATGAACAGGTAATTTATTTTGTTAACGGGTATCAAATTGAACGCTTTTCGTTGAAGAGCAAGTAATATGGCCGACTTTTTTCAGCTTTTTTATATGTATGAATCAGCAACGATAATATTTCATACTCAAGATGGCATATGCATAATTTTGTAATGTGATAAATGGGATTGCAGATGGATTTGGATTCGGCTTCCTTTTAATTTTTTCATACAATATTTTGTATGTATTGATGGGGTTATGGGACTAGGCCCAGAGCCTAATCAGCCCAGGCCCCGAATTTGGACCAGCGGGCCCAAGCCCAGCAACCCAGAGCTCGAGTCAGCCCGACCAACCAGGGCAATCAAGGAGCGGAAGCCCAAGAGAGCCTGTCGACCAGCCCAGCGGGGAGCCTGCGGTCCAGCCTACCCGGGAGCCTGCCTTCCAGCCTAGCCAGGAGCCTGTCGACCACCAGCCCAGCTGGGAGCCTGCGGTCCAGCCCAACTGGGAGCCTGCGGTCCAACCTACCCGGGAGCGTTCCTTCTAGCCTACCCGGGAGCCTGCGGTCCAGCCCAACTGGGAGCCTGCGGTCCAGCCCAGTGGGGAGCCTGCCTTCCAGCCCAGTGGGGAGCCTGCCTTCCAGCCTAGCCGACCACCAGCCCGCTGGGAGCCTGCGATCCAGCCCAACTGGGAGCCCGCGGTCCAGCCCAGGTGGGAGCCTGCCTCCAGCCCATCGGGGAGCCTGCCTTCCAGCCTACCCGGGAGCCTGCCTTCCAGCCTACCCGAGAGCCTGCCTCCAGCCCGGTGAGAAGCCTTCCTCCAGCCTAGCGGGAAGCCCACCGTCCAGTCCAGCAGGAGGGAGCTCAAGCGTCCAGCCTGCCAGCCAGGCTGACCTGCCAGCCAGGAAGAGTAACGGCCAACAATCAATGCGCTACTTAATTATGTGTTTAATTCCGTATTAATGTTGTAATTAATTTAGTCATTATTATGTTCGACAGTTATCATTTGTAATCGCCTATAAAAGGCAATTCGAATTTCAAATACAGATATGCTATTTCTGGCTAACTTTCCATATTCGTACTTTCCTAATTCTTGCTTGAGTGTCGTACGTAGCTTTCCTAAAGCCTACGAGCGTCCTATTTTGGACCAACATTGGTGCTTTCATTGAGAGCCTCTATTGTCTCTCACATCACTTGAGTAGGAATCACCTAGGAAGATGGCCGGAATCTCGTCTCGACGTGACCATGTCTCAGTCCACACCGAGGAGTCCGCCCGGTCTGGCCGCCAGCGTGCCCTCGACAACCATGCACAGGGCAGGAGGGCGGCGCGCCAAGGCGACCTTCGGAACCAATTATCAGGCCACGGCGACCTAAGGGCGACGCTCAACCACACTCAAGGTGAGCGCTCGGTCCGCAGCCGGCGGGGGGGAGGCCGACGTCATGCTCCGCGCATGGACCCGGCTCGACTCAATGCCGGGGTGGAAGCCCTGCAGGAGGCAACTCGGGTTCTGGGGACCTTGGCTCAAAATTTCCAACAGATGGTGTCTGGCGGAAATGTGGATGAGCATGCCCGTCAACAGACGCCAGCGGATGTGGAGGTGTCCTCGAGGCGGCGTGATGAGCGACGCTCTGGATCCAACCAAAACAGGGGGGAAGAAGTCTCCCATCGGCGGGGGGAAGAAGTCTCTCAGCAGCCTAGTCGACCCCATCGACAGACGGGGAGGGGCGCCCAGCAGGGGCGCCCAACGCAGATGGAAGGAGGCGAGCCCTCTCGCCACTCTCACCGGGCGAGCAGTCGGACTGGCTCCACGGAGAGGCAAAACGTTGGGCCCCGACCTCACATGCACGGACGACTTGGAGGTGCCGCCAGACATGCCGAGCCCCGCGCTGGAGCTGTCCGGGGGAACCCACCGCCGACCGAGGTGGAAGATCTACGACAGCGCCTTGACGAGTTGAGAAGGAGGGTTGTCGGGGGGGAGCCTTACACGGCCGACCTCCGGATACCCGAACCCTTCACCCGGGCGGTCATGGATGCGCCGTTGCCGAGGGGCTACAAGCCCTGCGCCATTGAAGCATACAAGGGCGCTTCGGACCCCCAGCATCATGTATCTCGGTACCTTTCCTACATGGTCATGATGGGGTACGAGGACGCAATCCGATGCCGCGGTTTCTCCGCCACTTTGGATGGCCCGGCTCGTGAATGGTATGACTCTCTACCCAACGGGAGTATCACGAATTTCCGTGAGTTGGCTCAGCGCTTTCTCTTGAGGTTCGCGAGCTCCCGAGACGTCAAGAAAAACTCCAGCCACCTGTTCGGCCTAAAACAGGGGAAGAAGGAACCATTGTCGACCTTCCTAGCGAGGTGGAGGGCCGAGTCAGTAAAGGTTCAGGGCCTTGATGACAAGACCGGGGTGGCCATGCTCACAAACTCTATCCGATCGGGCGAGCTTTACAAAGATTTCGTCAGAAGTCCCCCTACCTCGTACGAGGAGGCGCTCGGCCGTGCCGACCGGCAAGCCGAGGCGGAGGACGCCTTGCAGAGGAAAAGAGATGAGGAAGAAGGTGCAAAAGAAGAAAAGAAGAAGGAAGGCGGTTCGGGTGCTGAGAAAGCTGACGGCAAAGCTAGCAACAAAAACAACAAATACAAAGGTAACAAAAGTAGGGGCAAGGGCAAGGCGGACGTCCCGAGCGGACCGCTACAGCCCGTCAAGCAATTGACTCCACTTGCTCAGCCGGTCGGGGCCATCCTCGACTACGCGGAGGAGCAAGGTTTAGTCGACTTTCCTGAGGAGTGTGATGTGGTGACTGCCAAGCGCAACCACGACCGATATTGTCGATTCCATCGGAGAGCAGGGCATGATACAGATGATTGCGTCATTCTCCGGCGGCAAATTGAAGAACTCATCCAGAAAGGGTACCTGGGCCAATTCGTTGGCAAACAAGGAGGCATCCCGCAGAAGAGGAGCCTGACGTGGCAGCGGTCCGACCAAGCTACCACGTCAAAGGAGACACCCCCTGCCAAGAAGCGGGAGCTCGGCGCCTTCTCCGAGGAAGACGATGCCGACCTAGGGAACGGCCCCCGGAAGTACCATCGATGTTCGTTCATATTCGGGGGACCCCAGGGAGGCGACACCTCTGGAGAGCGGAAGCAGTGGGCCCGAGCCCTATACGTCGGGGAGATAACCAGGGCTCCCGCCGACAAGAGGGTGAAGAGGGACCCCATCTTCTTCACCGACGCAGATTTGCCACCGATGCCTCCGCCGCACAGGGATGCCTTGGTCATCAAGGTCGAAATCAACAACACGATCGTCCACCGAGTCCTGGTGGACAATGGGAGCTCCGTTAACATCATGTACTATGACACCTTCCAAGGTCTCGGGCTGGACCGAAAAGACTTGATCCCGGTGAGAACCCCACTCTCAGGCTTCACCGGGGACTCCATTGAGTCGGAGGGCAACATAGTCCTCCCTGTGATGGTGGGCTCCGAGCCCTGCGTATCCAAGTTAGACGTTGAGTTTATCGTCGTACGCCTAACTTGTGCGCATAAGATCATCATGGGAAGGCCGGCCCTGGAAGACCTCAGATGTGTGATATCCCAGGAGCACCTATGCATGAAGTTTCCCACTCCGAATGGCGTCGGAGTCGCCAGGGGAGATCAGCGAATGGCGAGGAGCTGCTATCTGAAAGCTTGCAAACAAATCGGTCAAAAAGACTTGAGGATCCACACTATCAACAACAAAGCCATGAAGTATGAGGAGGGTCAGCTCCGCACTGAACCCACCTCAGACGTGGAGGAGATCCAGATTGACCCTGAGAGGCCGGAGCGGAAGGTCAAGATCGGGACCGGGCTCCCGGTCCGCTTGAGGGAGAAGATTATCCAGGTACTTGTCCTTTTTAGCGTTGTCTTCGCGTGGGGACCGGAGGACATGCCTGGACTTGACCGAAGCATCGCTGTCCATCGGCTGGCGGTCAATCCAACGGCGAAGCCCATCCAGCAGAAAAGAAGACACCTCTCAACCGAGAGGAGGGAATTCGTGAAGAAGGAGGTCAACATGCTTCTGAGTATCAAGCATATCCGGGAGGTCTTGTACCCGGTTTGGCTGGCAAACGTGGTCCTGGCCCCGAAGCCGCCAACCTGGAGGATGTGTGTTGATTACACCGATCTCAACAAGGCATGTCCGATGGATCCATTCCCATTGCCTAACATCGACCAACTAGTCGATGGGACGGCCGGATGTGAGCTCCTTAGCTTCATGGACGCTTTTCGAGGATACCATCAGATTTTCATGCATGAAGAAGATGCGGAGAAGACCTCACTCGTCACCCCAGAGGGAATTTTTTGTTATCTTGTCATGGCCTTCGGGCTGAAGAACTCTGGGGCGACGTACACGAGGATGGTGGCCAAGGTATTCCGGAAGGTGCTCGGAAGGAACATGGAGGCGTATGTTGATGACATGATCGTCAAGAGCACCCGGGCATCCGATCATGCAGATGATTTGGCAGAGATCTTCGGGATCATGAAGGCAGTCCGTCTGCGCCTGAACCCGAAGAAATGTACCTTTGCCGTCCAAGGAGGCAAGTTCCTGGGGTACATGGTCACACGGAGGGGGATTGAGCCAAATCCTGAGAAGGTAAGGGCAATACTTGACATGGAACCCCCGAGGTCGGTGAAAGAAGTCCAGATTCTCACCGGCCGGCTAGCAGCCCTTGGACGTTTCATGTCCAAGTCCGCCGAGAAGTCCCTACCCTTCTTCCAAGTCCTAAAGAAACAAAATGGTTTCGTCTAGAATGATGAGTGTCAGCGAGCCTTCGACGACCTGAAGAAGTACCTCCTCTCTGAGCCTTTACTCAGCAAGCCGGAGAGGGGGGAGACGTTAATCCTTTATCTTGGGGTTTCTCAAGGTGCAATCAGTTCCGTGCTGGTTCGCGAGGAGGAAGGCGTTCAGCGTCCCGTCTACTATGTGAGCAAGACCCTCCAGAATGCTGAGCTCCGGTACACCCCGCTCGAGAAGACAATATATGCTGCCTACATCACTGCCAAGAAGTTGACACACTACTTCCAAGCGCACCCGATCAGAATCCTGTCGGACCAGCCCCTAGGTGCCGCTCTGAGGGCGCCCGGCACAACCCGGGTAGTGAAGTGGTCGATGCTCCTCAACCAATACGAGGTTGACTTCCAGCCTCGGACGTCCATCAAAGGCCAGGCTCTGGCTGATTTCATTGTGGAATGCACGGCCCGAGAAGTGGCAGATAGGCAACAGGAGAGCAATGAACAATGGTGGACTCTAGCAACTGATGGGTCGGCAGGAGCCAAGGGATGCGGGGGCGGAATCGTCCTCATCTCACCCGAGGGATTCCGAGCCTACTATGCCTACCGCTATCTTTTCAAAGTCTCTAACAATGAGGTGGAGTACGAGGCCCTACTGTCCGGGCTACGATTGGCAGCCGCCATGGGAGCAGAGTGGATAACGGTGAAATGTGACTCCCGCCTGGTGGTTTCACAGGTCAAAGGTGAGTTCGAAGCGAAGGAAGAAAGAATGATGAAGTATCGAGATGTTGTTCGGGAGTTGCTCGGGTTGTTCAAGCAAGCAGAGTTGATCTGCATCCCGAGAAATCAAAACTCCGATGCAGACCTCCTCTCAAAGCTATCCCAAGGGTTACCTGAACATATATCGAGAATTGCACGCATTGAGGAGATGACGACCTCAAGCATATCAGCCTCACCGTCCATTGACGTCCTTCCCCTGCAACCAGTCGCCTGGTGTTGGGTGGATGACCTCCTTCGCTACATAGCCGATGGGACGCTCCCCGAGAGAGAAGAGGAGGCAAGGTTAGTCCGACGACGAGCTCCGGGCTACGTCGTCTTGGATGGGAAGTTATACAAGAGGTCCTACAATGGGACCTTGCTAAAGTGTTTACGCCCACATGAGGCGGAAATGATCGTCTCTGAACTCCATGGGGGCGTATGCTCCGCCCATCAGGGGGCAGGCACGTTAGCTAGGAAGGTCGTCCTCCAGGGGTACTTTTGGCCAACAATAATGAAGGATTGCGCTGACTATGCAAGGAGATGCAAGACATGCCAGAAATTCCAGAAGAGCCCCGGCCGACCAGCAACGATGTACACACCGATCAGCACCGCCCTTCCATTAACAAGATGGGGTGTCGACCTGGTCGGTCCCTTACCAACCGGGTCGGGAAACCGGAAGTTTGTCATCGTCGCGGTGGACTACTTTACGAAGTGGGTTGAGGCCGAGCCGCTTGCCAGCATCACACATCTCCAATGCAAGAAGTTCATATGGAAGAATATTTTCTGCCGGTTTGGGGTTCCCCTCCAAATAATCTCCGAGAACGGAAGGCAGTTTGACTGTGAAGCCTTCCGGCAATTCTGTGCAGAGTGGGGAGTAGAATCCAGCCGAGTTGCGGTCTGCTACCCCCAGGCAAATGGGCAGGTGGAGAACACTAACCGGACGATCGTCGATGGACTGCAAAAGAAGTTGGAGGCCCTCGGGACTGCCTGGGTGGAGGAGTTGAACAATATACTCTGGACCTTCAGAACAACCCCAAGGAAGGCAACAGGAGAGACCCCTTTTGCCTTGTGTTATGGCTTTGAGGCGAGGGCACCGTTCGAGGTCGTAGTTCCCAGCCGGCGAGTAGAAGAGTTTGAACCAGCCAGCAATGAGGAGAGGCTCCGAGCCGAGCTCCACCTCATTGAGGAAAGAAGAGACCGTGCCTTCATCAAAGCGGAAAACTATCGACGACAAGTCAAAGCGTACCAAGACAGCCGAGCCCGACCCCGGAGTTTTGACGTCGGTGATTACGTCCTAAGACGTAGGAAGGCCAGCAGGCCGACAGAGGGAGGTAAGCTCTCCGTCAAGTGGGAAGGCCCTTACGTGGTTGACGCAGTGATCGGCCCTAGGACATACAAGTTGAAGACAACAACAGGCCGGTTGGTAGACCGCGTCTGGAATGCCGAGCACCTGATGAAGTTTTACCAGTAGAAAATCGAAGTTTCACTTTTCTTTGTAAACTCCTGTGCTCCGAGCACGGGATTACAATTTGTAATTCTTCATGTGGTCCGCCCACATCATGAATTCAATATACTTTGCTAGCGATATTTTGTCATCAAAAGAGGTCCGACCTCACTTAGCAATAAAGGGCGGCGGCAAAAAAAAAAAAAAAAAAAAAAAAAAAAAGGTACTATGCCCCCCCTCGGTGTTTGGCCGACCTCGGCTAGGCTCTTTAACCGAAAATAGCCAAGCGATTTTCAAGAATCTGGGCAATTTTCTAAAGTAAAGAGCTAGCCGCGACAGTCGAGGCGACGGTAGGGCTGGCCTCCGGGTCGAGGGTACTCAGGATGCTGACCTCCGGGTCCTTTCGAGTGCTCGCTGCCTAACATCGTTGGCCAAGCAGCTCGCACTCTCGTCATCCCTGAGTTGGCGGTGCGGGTTCGTTCTGGTGGATCATGCAGGGTCCGCCCCTGTTGTTTGGCTATCCATGCGGGAGTAACCAGATTATTCCCCAAGTCCGGGCAAACTGGACGGGTTAAAGTGACAGTAGGACTGACCCCCGGGTCATGAACGTTCAGGATACCGACCTAAGGGTCTTCCTCGTCGGTTCAATGTCCGACCTTGCTGGCCAAACAAGTCGCTTACTTGTTGATTCCACATCAATAGCGAACAGATCACTTCTACCCAACTAGGAGGGGCACGGATAGGCTCGGCCACGCCAGCCTAACTGCCCCCCGGGAGGTTAGAGAAGCCAGATCCCCGAATAAATTGCTAAGTATTCGTAATGCAAAGTATAGAAAAGGAGGCGTATGAAATAAAAATCAAACATCCACGAGGTATTCAAGTGGGAAACAAAGGAAATACAAAATACAATGTCACGGCTGGACAGACCCATCGCCATCAACCTCGGGAATGTCATCTAACACACCAACCAAGTCCTGGCCAGGGGCCACAGGAGTCATGTTCCCCGGAGCTGGCGGAAAGAACCAAGCCCATTCGTTAGAACTACCAAGCTCCTCCTCCTGACGGACGGCCTCTGGGGGAAGAAGGGCTATCGCCTCCACGGGTTTCTTCATGCGGCCGGGAAGGCCGAGTGTGGATGGATGAAAGTCAGGGTCTAGATCCTTCAACCGGCCATACACCTTCTGCTGCATCAAATACTTGCCACTCTGAAAAGCATACAGGACTTCGCGAGCGCGCCAATACTCTCCGTCGAGGGTCGTCAGCCACCTCTGCACCAGTTCAGACTCTTCCGCTTGCACCCTCGCAGAGACGAGCTTCTGGAACTGCTCGGAGGCCTGGAACTCGGAGAGCGCTTTCTTGGCTCCTTGTTTGGCCGCTTCTTCACATTCTTTTGCACGCGAGGACTGCAGCTCGGAGAAGGCTTTCTGGCTGGCCCACAGGGCAGCCCTAGCCTCGTCAGCCTCACGCTGAAGCCTGGCCTGAGAATGATTGGCTGCGTGAAGTGCCCTGATAGTCTTGGCGAGCCCCTGCAAGATAGACAAACGAAAATGTGAGGGGGTTCAGGGATAAACACAATCCACACCAAAACGTGATCAACCTACCTCGATATGTGCCCGCCTTGGTCGCCCAGGGGAAGGGCAATGCCAGCCAGCAGTGGGACGGCCGTCGGCTTCCTAAGCAAAGTCTACCGGCAGAGTGGCGGCCACCGGTCCGATCCCCAACCAACATTGCTCGGCCTAGCTCCATGGGGAACCGCACATATGGGCATTAGCTTGCCTCAGCCCTAGTTCCTTCAAGGCCCGACAGCAGCCGGCCAAGAAAGGGACGGTGCCGCTCAACTTGGACTCGAGGAACCACCTGGCCGCTCGGCTTCCTACGCAACGATGCTTGGCAGCGGATGAACAACATGGACGCCCGTGAGAAGGACAAATCCATCCGGCCCGAGGGCGCTTGGTCACCCAGCCGTCTAGCCGCCAACCTCTTGGGTGACACCGTCCGACAATGGGGTGGCCGCCGATCCCTATAGCGTGCGCCGACCACCACAGAAGCCCAGGCCCGCCAGCCAGATTCACCGGGCTGCAGGGGCAACATCGGCGACCGTTGGGTGGCACAAGACAGCCCGCCAATACCTGTAAATTGCGCCGACCAAGGTCCAGGCCGGCTGGCCGGCCGACCAGATTCGCCGGACTGGCAGGCGACGTCAGCAACCGGCGGCCAACACAGGACGTCCGCCTGGCACGGCGGGGGCGACACGGGGAAGCTACGGGGCGGCGGTCAACCACACAAGCTTGGGACGGCGGCACTGCGCGACGCGAGGAAGACGGACGCGAGGAAGACGGACGCGAGGAAGACGGACGCAGGAGAGAGAGGAAAGAGAAGAAAGGAAAGAAAAAAGAAAGGAAAGAAAAAAGAAAGGAAAGAAAAGAAAAGGAAAGAAAAGAAAAGAAAGGAAGAAAAGAAAAGAAAGGAAAAGAAAAAAAAGGAAAGAAAAGAAAAGGAAAGAAAAAAAAGGAATGAATTTATTTGGAGCCTTTTTTGGGAGCCTGATTTAATTTGGGAATTTCCATAAACTCTGGGATTCCCATAATCCACAATTATGGCTCCCTGATATGTGAATATTTTTTAATCGGCAGCTGACTTAAACTACTCCCTCTTAGCCGAGTCTACTACTCGACTAAGGGAGTGGGGGACTCGTGATGGGGTTATGGGACTAGGCCCAGAGCCTAATCAGCCCAGGCCCCGAACTTGGACCAGCGGGCCCAAGCCCAGCAACCCAGAGCTCGAGTCAGCCCGACCAACCAGGGCAATCAAGGAGCGGAAGCCCAAGAGAGCCTGTCGACCAGCCCAGCGGGGAGCCTGCGGTCCAGCCTACCCGGGAGCCTGCCTTCCAGCCTAGCCAGGAGCCTGTCGACCACCAGCCCAGCTGGGAGCCTGCGGTCCAGCCCAACTGGGAGCCTGCGGTCCAACCTACCCGGGAGCGTTCCTTCTAGCCTACCCGGGAGCCTGCGGTCCAGCCCAACTGGGAGCCTGCGGTCCAGCCCAGTGGGGAGCCTGCCTTCCAGCCCAGTGGGGAGCCTGCCTTCCAGCCTAGCCGACCACCAGCCCGCTGGGAGCCTGCGATCCAGCCCAACTGGGAGCCCGCGGTCCAGCCCAGGTGGGAGCCTGCCTCCAGCCCATCGGGGAGCCTGCCTTCCAGCCTACCCGGGAGCCTGCCTTCCAGCCTACCCGAGAGCCTGCCTCCAGCCCGGTGAGAAGCCTTCCTCCAGCCTAGCGGGAAGCCCACCGTCCAGTCCAGCAGGAGGGAGCTCAAGCGTCCAGCCTGCCAGCCAGGCTGACCTGCCAGCCAGGAAGAGTAACGGCCAACAATCAATGCGCTACTTAATTATGTGTTTAATTCCGTATTAATGTTGTAATTAATTTAGTCATTATTATGTTCGACAGTTACCATTTGTAATCGCCTATAAAAGGCAATTCGAATTTCAAATACAGATATGCTATTTCTGGCTAACTTTCCATATTCGTACTTTCCTAATTCTTGCTTGAGTGTCGTACGTAGCTTTCCTAAAGCCTACGAGCGTCCTATTTTGGACCAACATGTATAATTCTGGCCATATACGTGTGTTTTAGTAGTATATTTCTATATACATACATGTATATTAATATATATGTGTTTATACAGTATTGTTGTTTATTATTTATATATAATATTTTATTTATTAGTTTTAAACTATGGAAATTTTTATAGTATGTATAAGAATGAGGGTGTTGATGTGTGTGTGTGTTTTAACAGGTTTAATTTAATGGATATGGGTTCTCCGAATTTCAATTCAGACTCTAATAGTTCATCTTCAAGTGAAGTGAACTTTCACTTTCCAAACATTACTTTCATGGCGCAAATAAGAATTCGGATGCTCCCTTGATTGTTTCTTCAATGTTGACCGCCGTAAAGTTCGCTCTTGACGGCTCAACATCAGGTAGATGCTATATTCGCCGTGATAGGAAAGAGCACCATGACATAATAGTTAATGACTACTTCAAAGGTGAAAACTCAAAGTACACCCCAGAACTTTTTCGTCGTCGATTTAGAATGAATATTGAATTATTCAATAAAATACTACAAGATGTTGAGAACTATGACAATTATTTTCAACAAAAGACAGATGCTGTTGGAAACATTGGGTTGAGCCCCCTCCAGAAGATGGTTGCAGCAATACGTATGCTTGCATATGGTTGTCCAGCTGATTTGCTTGATGAATATGTTCAAATTGGAGAAAGTACCGCAGTTGAAAGCCTAAAGCGTTTCTGTGATGCTATTTTAGGACTCTTTGAAAAGCATTATTTGAGAAAACCAAATGAGGATGATATTAGAGTGCTCCTAGAAGAAAATGAGACTCGAGGATTTCCCGGTATGCTTGGCAGCTTGGATTGTATGCATTGGCAATGGAAAAATTGTCCCACTGCTTGGCATGGCACGCATACGAATGGTTTTAAAAGGGTTCCCACTCTTATTTTAGAAGTTGTAGCTTCACAAAATTTATGGATTTGGCATGCTTTTTTTGGAATGGCTGGTAGTAACAACGATGTTACCGTTTTAGATAGATCACCCCTATTTGATGATATAATAAATGGCATTGCTCCGCCATGCAAATTCATTGTTCAAGGTCATGAGTACAACATGGGTTATTATTTAGCTGATGGGATATATCCAAAGTATGCTATTCTTATCCAAACAATATCTCAACCATCGTCTGTCAAGGAAAAATTATTTGCAAAAAAACAAGAATCAGCGCGAAAGGATGTTGAGCGAGCATTTGGTGTGTTACAAAGTCGATGGCATATAATTAAAGGACCTGCTCGGATGTGGAGTGCTAAAGACTTGGGAAAGATAATGAAGACATGCATTATCTTACATAACATGATTATTGAGAATGAGCGTAGTCAAGGCGTTAATCCAGAAGATTGGCGGGATGAAGGAGATGAACCTAGTGAAGGTGTTAATCTAGAGCATGATTTTACCTTAATTATGTCCATGATGATTAATCGAACAAAGCAGATACAAGACACGTGGTTACATAGAGAACTAAAAAGGGATCTCATCAACCATTTGTGGGAAGTCTATGGTGGTCAAGTTGTTGATGATTAATTTTTTTTTTTTTGCATTTTGTGAACCCTCAAATTTTTATTTAATGTAATAAGATTTATATATGATCCATTATCGCGTCTTTAATTTAAATTTGTAGCCCGCTCACTCATTATAATATGTATATGTTACATGTTTTCAGAACAATATAAACATTAACTCCTTCCCTTCAAAATTGACTTTTTTTAGTATATTAACTCTATTCTCTTTTTCATCATTTACAAAATATAACAGTATGAAACTTTGAAATTATTATAAATAATGTAAACAAAAAATATAGTGAAAACTCAAAAAATATAACTGTATTTCATCAGAGGGGTATGTTGGTTTGATATTTAAGTAATGATTTATTAGTTGGTTTGAAAAACGGATATGTAATACTTAATGGATTTGTGATTTGGAGTCCTTTTTCATTAACATATACAGTATCATTTTCTGTTTCCTTTCTTCCATTTTTTCTTGTGCCAATACTGCAATAACCTTGAATAGACTCATAACAATCCCTTAGAATAAAAAAATGAAGCAACACCACAATTGTTACAGTGGCTGAAATTCTTAAGAGCAATGGATTTCCAACTAAGAAAAGTAAGCACTTCCTTTCACTTATCATTTCCCTGATAGCTCAGGATTAGAGATGGACAAAAATAAACATACATGTTATAGGGAAAAAATGAATAATGTCATTAATAAACAAACAAGGTTCATATATTCTTAGGAAATATATAATTAAACTATCTAAATAACTAATGCTATAAAGGAAGAATAAAGTCTTTGATATCAAATGACACTGACATGTTTTAAACTAAAATGCATTAATGTATCTCTAATGTATTCAGGTTTAAAAGCTGTCACTTTCCCACTCCTTTGATATTTGAGCTTGTAATATTTCATATGTAGCTCGGGCTGTAGGGGATAGCTTACTCAAATCAAGATTCATAACGCGTTCTTGTTCTAATCTTTTTTGGGCTCGCTCTCTCATTTCCTGATCCTTCATCTTCATTTTTTTATTGTGCTCTTTTAGTTCTATCTCCTTCTTCATTAGTTCCTTCTTCAACTCCATCTCTGCCACATTAAATTCGACTTGCTTGTCTAAGGTACACTGTAATTTACTCAACACTTCTATCACTCCATTTTCTGAATTCAACTTACGCTTTCTTTCTTTACAACTCTTCCTTCCCTGTGGGCGCACAATTTCATCACATGTAACTTTTTCAGGCTCCACAGAACAATTGCCTACATTAGATGTGTTCTTATCTGTTACCACTGTGTTACCATTGACTAAACAATCTTTATCATATGTAGATGACTTTGTAAGCTGATTTGTGCACCATTTTGCATTCCTGATAAGAAGTTCCCAGCAATGCACATACTTGAATTCCTTTTTCTTATTACCACTTGAAAGCCTTTCATACATTCTCAACGCCTTTGTTTTCTGTCAAAAAAAAAACAAAAAATAATGCAATGATGTATTTGTGCATTCATATGCATAGCTGAAATAAAAAATATAAAGGAACACATACTAAATCTTCTGGGTTTGATCCACTTTGAGGATGCCTTTCAAGTTTTTCATAAATTCCGTGGAATTTATTGACTGCTTTCTGTATTTTTGTCCATCGGCATTGGATGCTGTTACTTTTTCTGGCATTGGTGAATTTATCTCCCATGGTGTCCCTCCAAACTTGTAAGATTCGCTCCCACATAGCTGTCAGTTTCTGATTGTTACCAACATCAGGATCCATAGAAATACGTAGCCATGCTTTTGTTAGTGCAACATCTTCTTCTGAACTCCAATAATCTCTTTTAGAAGTGAAAGGTTGAGAAGTATTGGAACTATCATGGACACCTTTGGGGTTCCTTTTCCATCCCCCGCGTGAGTTGTGTGTTTCATTACGTTCACTTGAAATAATGGGAGTATTTAAGAGATTTTGGAATGAGAAGTGAGATCCGTAAGGTAGATTATTATAAGGAGGATAAGAACCATTTAATGGATTGAGCTGATATGGGGGCTGAAACTGATGGCTTATGGGAGTAAACAGATTTGGAATTTGGCTTGACAGGTTAGCATGGTTAGGATGTTGGGAGCTTGGGAATGGATTAGACCCTGAATCCATGTTAAATTGTACCTGCACATAATGAAAAGAATAAGGAAAAAGAACAAAATTGTGTTACCTATCAAAGGACTTGAGATAACAACATATCAAATCAACTAGCAACTGCTATTCATTCAGAATGATAAGGACTTGAGATAACAACATATCAAATAAACTAGCAACTGCTATTCATTCAGAATGTTACTGCACTTTTGGACTATGCTAACATTAGGATTTGGGCCATTTATACACTAATAGGTATGTTATTGCTAGTTTAAATCAACTAGCAATTGCTAGTTTATTTGATATGTTGTTATCTCAGGTCCTTAACATTCTGAATAAAAGTCATACTTTTCATACCGCTAGTTAATTAGCTAAAGTTGTTGTTCAAGCTTTTCCACTATTCAGATTAATTGTAAAACATTATAATCAGTTCTGATAGTACTCTGTTAGGGCAGCTCTAGAGTTAAGGAAATTAGGCAAACTGTTAACACAAATAAGTAGGATTGAAGTAATTAAAATTGTCATTATGATAATTAATACACCAAACTAAATGTCTATATAAGTTGCTGGAGCAATAAAGGGATTGAAAGAGAAACATATCCTATCCATGGGAATGAACAGATAAGAACAAGAAACAAGCTATTAACTACTTTGTTTGGCTTTATTGGGAAAATAAGATCAATAGAATTGCAGTATGTATATGTGCAGTATGTATTTGGCTAAGCTAACGGACCTAGGGGTTGATGTTTTCATTACCAATGCTTAAAGATTGTCCAGGTTTGTAAGAACTCAACAACATTTCTTATTTCCTTATTGTTACTTCATTGAAAATGAAGAATTTATGTAAAAGGTGTAAGAATACCTATTTGGTGAATTCCCAGATTGGTTTATTTCAATAATCTTCCAAAGTTGGGGGCTTGGACAAAAAGTACTGAACAAACAAAAATCAAAACTAGAGAACAAATTCAACTGAGAAGGCATGAATGGAAAATAACAGAGGAACCAATTTAGCGTAGATGCTCGCTAGTTGCAAAATAACACATCGAGGCGGCTAAATAACACTCGCTAAATTCAACCATACACTAAATACCACAAATTATGAGATGATTATATGCCCTAGTTGCAAAATAACAGTGTGCCTAAAGCAAAATAAAATGTTCAATGAGGAACCGATTGTATCTCGAGGCGGCTAAAATCAAAAGATGCTTTTGTTCATATGAAATTGTACCAACCTGTGCGGCGAGAAATGGAGTCTGAGCAGCAGTTTGAGAGAACCCAACTTCTTCCATGATTCGAGAGAACCGACCTTCCCTGATTCGAGAAATGGAGTCTGAGCAGCAGTCTGAGCAGGAGTTTCCAAGATATGACAGGAAGTTTTTTCGTTTCCCTCTTCTTTTTTCATGAAGCGGCACCTTCTTTTTCCGAGTCAGCAAGTTTTTGAGGCTTTCTTCACTCGCACTTGGGCCTTCACGGTGTTTAATTTTTTTTCTGCCAGATCATCAAAACCCTATAAAGACTATTAGCATTGGAGAGTCTAAAAAATAGAAAGTGTCTACATTATTGACATGGCACACTAAACGGACACTAAACAGCGCCCCATTGGGGTTGCTCTTAGTCATATTTGTGTAAATAAATTTTATTTTAGTAATATTTTTGGAAGAAAAAAACCCAAACAAATAACTTGTAAGTGTGAAATTTAACCGTGCTATTTTTTCAAATAACATCTAGTTTCATCCTTCATTATAGCTAATGATTGTAAAAATTTGTGAGGCCATTATAATGTGACAGTGTTACATATATTTATATATTAATTGTCTGAAGATGAATGCGGAGTATATTTTAAAGAGTTGTTTTTTTGAAATAAAATTAGACAAAATTTAATGAAATGTTTTCTTATTTAAAAATTGATGAAAGATACGAAACCGCAAATTATACCGTGCAACCGGCGCACCATGAGGATGGTGCGCCCGGTTGCAAAACGACGCAGCTTGCCCCCTCCCCCCCCCCCTTTTTTTTTTTGCTTTTGTTGTTAAAAAATAATAATAACTTTTTTATTTTTGATCCGATTTTTATAAAATTTATATCAACATTTTTTATTTTTCATGATCTTTCAAATGAGACCAATATTGCTTATGTAATTTTAAGAAATTATCGAACTATTATATTAATGAGTATTGGATTATAAGGAAAATCGAATCTGTTTGGGAGATGATAGGTTTGTGAAATAGAAGATCGAATCTGTTTGGGAGTGGATCAGTGACCTTAGTTACATTTGATAATACATTGAGTTACATCTTTTTATGAGCGAGTTACATCTTTTTATAAGCAAGTTACATCTTTTTATAAGCAAGTTACATCTTTTTATAAGCAAGTTACATCTTTTTAAAAGCGAGTTACATATATATAAACACGAGTTGCATTTGACTTGCCTGAACGCGACTTACATATATTTACACGTAAAGTTACATATTTTTACACGTAAAGTTACATATTTATACACGCGAGTTACATATTTATACACACGAGTTGCATTTGACCTGTCTGAACGCGAGTTACATATTTTTTTACGTAAAGTTACATATTGTTACACGTAGACATACATATTTATACACACGAGTTGCATTTGGCCTGACTGAACGTGAGTTACATATTTTAACCCGTAAAGTTACATATTTTACACGCAAATGTTAATATGTTAAAATTACATAGGCAATATTGGTCTCATTTGAAAGATCATGAAAAATAAAAAATGTTGATATAAATTTTATAAAAATCGGATCAAAAATAAAAAAGTTATTACCATTTTTTAAAAACAAAAGGAAAAAAAAATATAAATACGTACCGGTATACGGTGCTCACCGTATACCGGTCTTACGGTATAGGCACTCATACGAAACGTGACTCACAACTAAAATAGGACAAATTTGTCCAGTTTTGAAATAAAATAGGTGCGCCCAGCACTTTTAAAGGTGCACCAAGATGCTCCGGTTATTTATTACAACCACATTTCCTCTCTCTTACTTATTGCTCTGACTTCTCTCTAGATACTACTAGCGATATCTCGGTATAGACTATCTATCATTCTCGTTGAACAAGGTATCAAAGTATGACATACACCTCTCTTTTACTTCATCGTCCTGCATTAGTACCCTTTGATCGATATCATTCACACACTTAACTTTTCTGATATCTTGAGTCTTACGATCACGGGGCAGAGAAAGTCTATAAATATTTTTTCTCCTTCCTTAGAATCCAATTTTACATACAATTGCATGACAAATTGTAATAATATAAACAACTTCTAAATATAAAAATAAAAGTTCTATTTAAATTGTCGATCGATATGTAAACAAATACTTGTACTTCCTAGTTCCGTAACTATCAACATTTCACGTTTGTCAACGGAAAAGTTTGACCATTAATATCTTTCATTTCTTATTTGTAAAAATTTTAAAAATCCATATTTTGAAAATTTAGAATGAGAAGAATTAACATTAATTTTTAAAAAAATAATTTATAATACATTAATTAATAAAATATAGTCAAACTAGAATATGTGAATAGTGCAAAAAGTTCAATGTTGCAATTAAAAGAGAACAAATGTAGTATTCAAAAGAGGCACATCTAATTGTGCAATTCATACACAACTATCTGTCCGATTGTGCATAGTCTAATACCAATCTCTTAGATTTTGCTAATTTTGACAGGCACGAGAAATAATAAATTAAAACTTTATGTTTGAAATTTATGCGGAGGTAAAAGTAATATCATTAAACACAAATTAATTGATTAAAAGGAAGGTGACAAATTTTTTTTAACAATAAAAAGGAAAAGAACACAAAACTACAAAGAACAGAGGAAGTAATATAGGAAGCACTCCATTATTTATCTGTTTTGTTTCGAACACTGGAAAATGGAGAAGAAGAGGGCAATGGTATCGATAAACAGAGAACATGCTGCTTCAATGTAGTCATGGGATGATGTCGTGCTCAAGCGGTTGATGACAACTATGATCAAACCGGAAGAGACGAGCGCTCCGAGATACCAGAATATGAGGTAGATCATCAATTGTCTACTTCCCATATGAGCAAACACCTGTCCATCATCAAAACATTGTATATCTTGTAATCTTAGAATATTGTACGGAGTAATATCTAGTTAATTAAATAGCACGTACTATTATATTACTCCGTGCATAACACCCGTGATTATGTCAACATTTTATGCAAAAACCATATACGGAGTATAACTTATATATACTCCCTCCATCCCACTATAATTATCTCATTTTTCGTTTTTTGTCCATCTCATTAATTTTGTCTCGATTATACCATATTTAGTAATATTTTGTGTCTTTAATTCAATCTTACTTTATTTTCACTTTAATCAAATCATTATCAACCACATAATTTCACTTTTTTAAACAATGCATTACTCCATTCTGTCAATATTGGGGGTGGGGGGTGGGGGGTAGTATCAATATTCCTGGATTATGTCAATATTTTTTTGCATCAATGAGGATGTGTAGCCCTCAATCAATTACAACATGTTGGAAACTATAAAAGGGGCCTAATATGTAATTAATTAAAATGTGTTTACAATCAAATAAATAATAAAAAAATACAGTGGCTACTCATGAAATAATAAAAGTGTAGATACTGGGATAATATATCTCTTTTGGACATCGGTCAAATTAAATATATCACACTAAAGTGATACAACGGTTATGACCCCCGGTGCATGTAAATAAAGAGATAATTGTAACGACATCATAACGGAAAATGGCCTAATAAATTATTCTACTTAATATCATTATTGTAGCAATAATGAAGGAATAATTATAAATTAATAAGGCCTAACCGTTACATGTCATTCTAGTCCTATAAACATCCCATCAGTTCGTAGGACTAAGACACATCTCATACGCTACATAGCACAGGAAGGTTTAGTCGATTAATCGCGTTGGATTCCTGTGTCTTCTTAAAGTGTTAAGCAAATGAATTCTCAAGGTTCTAATTCTAATTATAACTCATGCATGTTTGATTTCATGGATTTATATGGATTTAGCTACTATATATATTTATATATATATACTGCATATGGAGCTTTGTCTATATATATATATATATATATATATATATATATATATAGGTATATATATATATATATATATATGAAGGGAGCGGTTCCAGTAAGAACGGACTCTTAGGAAAGAAATGAGAATGAATCTGGAGTGTTGGATTGTATTATGTAGAACTGAATTTTGCATTTGGTGAAATTGAAATGTGCATTAGATGATATTGAAATGTGCATAATAAAAAATTAAACTCAAGTGTGCATTAGGTGAACTGAAATATGCGAAATAAAATGTACAAAAATAACATCACATCGTACCTTTTATTATGTATATTTTAGTTTCACCTAGCTAGTCCACATTTCATTTTCACCTAACGCACAATTTAGCTTCACATAATGCCCATTATATCGTACCTGATGGAGTATTGACTCCTACAGAGAAGTGAGAGCTAGAGAGAGAAGTGATTCGTATTAAATGATCGAGTTTCGAACCCTTACAACTACTCCCTTTGGAATATTTATAGGGAAAAGCGGGATGGGCTCCCAAGCCTTGGGTTTGGGAGGCCCATTACAATATAAGGCCTCTGTTGGGCTGATTACATTCGGATACATGAGCTAAGTATGTAAGTCCTTGGAGACGTAGGTCTGGCTGACGGAGGTGTGGCAGACGAAGTCCTTGGAGACGTACGTCTGGCTGTGGCAGACGAAGTCCTTGGATACGTACGTCTGGCTGTGGCAGACGGAGTCCTTGGAGCCGTACGTCATGCCGTGGCAGATGAAGTCCTTGGAGACGTACGTCTGGCCGTGGCAGACGAAGTCCTTGGAGACGTACGTCTGGACGTGGCAGACGAAGTCCTTGGAGACGTACGTCTGGCCGTGGCAGATGAAGTCCTTGGAGACGTACGTCTGGCCGTGGCAGGTGAAGTCCTTGGAGACGTACGTCTGGCCGTGGCAGACAGAGTCCTTGGAGACGTACGTCTAGTCGTGGCAGACGGAGTCCTTGGAGACATACGCCTGGCTGTGGCAGACGAAGTCCTTGAAGACGTACGTCTGGCTGTGGCAGATGAAATCCTCGGAGACGTACGTCTGGCTGACGGAGTGCTGGAGGCCGTACGTCCCCGGGGTGGTCCATGTGCTGAAAGCCGTACGTCCTCGGGTGTCCCTTGTGCTTGACGCCGTACTTTCCCGGGGTGTTCCTTGTGCTTGATGTCGTACGTCCCCGGGGTCTTACGTGTAGCTGGAAGTATGTGGGTCATGGGGCTTGGACCCATATACTCCATCAGTACCCTTTGTGCTGCACATTTGAATTTTATCGAATGCTTATTAAAGTTTCATCTAATGCACATTGAATTTTACTTTAAGCAAATCTAACGGTCCATATTCATTCTCATTTCTCTCCAAAGATCATGTTCTTATTTGAACCAAAACTTATATATGAATATCTAACAACTTATACATGAATATCTAACACAACATTGCAAATGAATAACGTAAATTAAACATAAACAAATGATCAAAGAATGATTGAATCAATTAAATGAACGATATAGGTATAATAACATCAATTTTACTTGTATCGAGCATAGCATTATAGTCACCATTAATTAAATGTATATTTACCCGGATGAAACCAAAGCCGATGAGCACCATGAGTTCCAGAAGAGAACAGATCAGAAAAGGGAACAGAACCAAGGTTATGAACAAGGCTGATCTCTTCTTAGCCCAGAAAGTGTACAACATAAGCGCAAGGAATGCAAATGCCATCGCACCCGCCACTATCACAATAGGCATTCCTTTATAAATACAGTTAGATTCGTAAATTTCTTTCTCTTTAAATAGCTAGCATGAAATCAATCATATTCATATATACATAAGTCGAGTCAAATGCATAAATGGTACTTTAACTATTGATAATGTTGCATTTTGGTACCTTAACTGATATTAAATAAATCAAAACGATACTTTAACTATACTTAAATGTTTCAATTTGAGATTTTATTCAAATTTCCGATCAAAAAATTCTTCATGACGATCAAAATTCCGTGTAAAGTCACCCTATAGTGACCATATAGACAAAACAAAGGTGACGTAGTCATGTAGACTTTACCCATAGAATTATGGGCCCCACAAATCTTTTTTTGATCGAAAATTTGAATAAAATCTCAATTTGAAACATTTATGTATGATTAAGGTACCGTTTTGATTCATTTAAAAGTTAAAGTACCAAAATACGATAGTTAAGGTACCTTCTAAAAAGGTATTCTCTCGTGGAGTACCTTTTCTCATTTTCTGTATGTAGAAACCATTCCAGTTGTAAGAGCCATGTCGAGAGTAAAGAGCACCAAAAGAACAAGATTCCATGGACGTTTCTCGCTGCTGCCTCCCATTACTACGCCAACTGTCATCTCAATCAAGAAAATGCCTTGTTTAAATTAAAAACCACGGAGTATGATATTGTAATACAGATTTACTTCATTCCTTTACCAAATTTGACTACACCAATAATAAATTTAAATTGTGTTGTTGAAATTTGGGTACACATAAGAGAATTAATATTAGAGCCACAAATTAATTGATTATGTAGGAGAATGATAAAGATTTCAAAAAAAAAAGGTCAAGGATTGTGCACATTGCTTAAACTACATTTTATTTCAGAGTATTTGATGGAGTATATGGCTCAGGAACCCCCGACCCACATACTTCCCCTACTACAACCAGACCCAACAGGACCAAGTGACCCAAACACATCGAACAGGACTCCAGACAGCCCATATTACAACAAGTTTGCCCTTCGGCCTCATGCCCAAAGGCTACATGTTTGAGAAACAGTTATGTCTGGTCCACTAACATCACTGGGAACCAATGTTAAAATTACGTGCGGCCTTCAGCACGTGCAGCCCCCGGATCATGCATAGCCCTCGGTACTTGCAGCCCCCGGATGCACATGACCGAGGGCACTCTCCTCGATAAGATCTTCTCCCCACATGTGCTGAATCACCGCATTAAATGCAACGTCACACCCAAACCGCCGCATTCAATGTGGCCACATGCTATGTCGGCGCCACCCTGGCTGAGTTGACCTTCCATCGCTGAATGCTTGACACGTGTACCATCGTTGATTAGACCTAGCATTTATGGCTACTATAAATAATGGCCATTTTCCGTTGTAATCAACACACAACTTTTATATCGAATACACACTCTCTCTCTCTTACTTGCTCTGGCCTCTCTCTTGATATTTCTTATAGTATGCCTCGGATAAGCTACCCCGGGTACACTATCCGTCAGTATCCATTCAGGCGTAAAAGTATGATGCCTTTTTAAGTGGGCCTTCCCGCGGAAGAATAAAAAAAGATATCACATTGATAAACGGTACTTCGATCAAAAAGTTGAGAGAGAATGTTATGCTAAATAGACTTCATGCTTTATTGTTGATGTCCACTTTTGAAAAAAAAAATGAAAAAAAAAACCATTACAAGTTGGTGAGTTCTCAACTTTATCATCAAGTTTCAATTTAACGGATTCAGAACAATTAACAAAAATTTTAGTAAATGCAATAGAAAAGTAACAAAAATCTTCTGGAATAGAAAAAATAGATAAAGAAGAAATTGGTAAAAAAGTCCCCCGATAGTCATACAAAATGAAAAGTAATAAAGTATAAATTGGGAATATAAACCGATTTCTTTTTTGCAATATAAGGTAACAAAGTGCTCCAATACATACATTATTAATGAAAAAAATTATTAAAATATTCTCTCTTCTAGTCTTTTTGAAAGACAAAAAGGTATAAAAGACGAGACTTTAACAAACATTTTTTTTATCTTTACTAGTCTTCTTGACCAATTTTAGTCGCAGATGGAATGTAGATAAGACTTAAATAGACTTCATCCATGTAAAATACACAATGATCAAACATCTAACATATCACATTACTTCAGACCAAACTAAATCAAAGTCATCATACTAGATCAAAAAAATTCATTCCAATTAAATCATCCTAAAGATGGAACATAAAATCATAAAGTCGTAAACAAAAATTTCACTTTCTTAAAAATTGTAAAGTCAAACTTTGAAGTTTAATTAGGAACAGAGGGAGTATTGTTAATATGCTTTTGCATAATATTAAAAGAAAATCTTTAAATAGAAAAGATAGATTTAGAGCAACTTTGTTAATAGTTATCACTCATATAACTTGTTTTTATTGCTATTTAGAGCAATTTCTTATATACTTGATTGCAAAAATGTCAACAAGACAACAATAAAAAAGAGGAAACATGATGATATACTTTGGTAATTAAAAATTACTCACGTATGATGATGAGAATGATGACTCCTGCCAGAGAGAAAACTCCATAAACGGTGTCCATGAATGGTTTAACGGCGGGAATGGAGAACTTGATGACGGCAGCGGCGGCCGTGCAGATGAAGAATTGGACGGAAACAATGGCGTAAACCCCTCGATTGAGTGTGCAACGCGTCTCTGTGCTCTCCCCGGGGTATAGTTTTACATTGAAAAAACCACTCATTTTCTTAGGTTTTGTGTTTCTGCTTGTAATTGAGATTCATTGTACGAAGTATATATAATACCTCCGGTATACAGCGTGGGAGGCGGGGTTGACCGGTTGACATTAAAGTATCTTCAATGCTATAATGTCCAGAAATGCATACATCGAGACATGAGAAAGAAATACACAAAATAATAAGTTCATGATATTTATCTCTCATTCGGTCTATGATCTTATGTGTTTTAATAAGTTTTTTTTTAAAATGTCAAACATTAATTACTTATTGATTTTATGTGTACCTCACTGATCAAGTAATAAGTTACTCTCTCCGTTTCATCAGAAGGTTCTCGTCCACTATTCTCATGGTCAATTTAAATCATTTTTAATCTTTTACTTTATAAATCAAATTTTTACCAAATATACATTTTTTTTATCAGACTTTGTAACGATTTTATTGTAGTTTCTGAATATGTTAATTTTATTTACTAAAAATAATCAGTATATGAACAGGGAACGTGTAGCGGGATGGAGGGAATACTTAAAAGAATTTGCCGCGGAATCAGGGAGAATTGTTGTCATACGGATGAATACATTTCTAGGGGGACTGGGAAAGCACTCCACTCCGTACATTAATTACTCCGTAACATATTCTCAAACTATACTATCGTCATCTTTAGTCTGCTATTGGCTCAGGTGCCGAGGAGGCAAAGCACTGAACCGGTCGGCTCAGATTGGTTCCGTAACATATTCTCAAAAAGTATTTTTAGAAGAAAAAATCACATGAAACTTTCATACTAAAAAGGACACTTTTTTTTTATTTGGAGTGAGCCAGAGCTTAAGTTGGCCCCGTCAGACTTCACCCCTAGATTCACTCATCTTCTTTACCGATTTATCTCATCATTTTTTCCTCGATTCCTCTGATTTGTTTTTCTTTTTCTTTTCTTCTTCAATTATTCACTGCTCCTTTATCAAAATATTAACAATCTAACCACTATTTTGTTGATTTTCTTCATCTTCAAATCAACAAAATGGATATTTAAATCTGGGTAAATGGTGCCGTGTATGACAAAAGGGAATAAGGTTGTTGTGAAATCCTTTGGACCATGGCAGTGAGCGGGTGGAGGGAGACATCATCCTTCTATGGGTAATAAATGGCTAGTCAGCGGAGGAGGGTAGGAAGAAGCCAAGCGGGGATGCAAAAGAACCTCAAAGAAAAACAGGAACAAGGTCAGAGTCACATGAAGGGTAAGTCTCAGGAAGGAGAGGATGAGTCAAAGCTTGAGGATGCAAGAATAAACAGCAGTGGAATGGGAGCAATCAGGGGAGGACGTCATGGCTCTGGATGGAGCAAAAAAACAGGGAAGAGGCGGGCTGGAGCACTCAGACCCGCCTAAACCTGTGAAGATCATGTGCTTCTGACAGATTGAAGTTATTTTTTACTTTAAAATGATATTTCTTCATGTTGGTTTTTACTTTGAACATCGTATGTTATTGTTAGCTTTTATTTTTATTTATGTCAAGACTCTAGAACATAGGACAGGTGATGAGGAGTCTAGTTTAATTTGTCACTCATTGGCTCAGGTAAGCTCAATTCAGGATCAGAAAATGTGGTTGCTTTTGGGTGTGTTTCGGAATAAACGAAGAAATATTAATTAAATAAAATTAATTAATAAACAAAATAGCTAAAAGAAAACAGAAAATAAGATGAAGCAGATTTTAGCCAGAGCTCGTGCTACGCACGATGTCCTTAAAACGTATTCGTCGCCTCCCACGGTGCTAGGAGCGTTGCAACGACCGTTTCCCAGGATACGGTGGCTAACGAACGATCGTTTGAGCACACAAACGAAAGTCCCGACGAACTGGAACAAAAGCAGAACACTAGAGAAATTTGGGAGTAGCTGGAAGAGTTTTTAGCTCAAGAATACGTGAGGAATGTATTGTGCGTTGTGTCTTGTTGCAAACCACCTGTCAACTATTTATAGGAGGATTTGTTGTGTGTTAAATGGGGTGTTAATGGACCTGAACGTTGGACATCAATGACCAGTCCGTTGGGCATTGAATCGTCCATAAACTGTCCATTTAACGCAACATTAAAAGAGAAGAACGTTGGGCATTAATTGTTGCAACGGAAGAATTGCGCGACAGAAGACCCCAACAGAACACCCCCTTCGAGGGGTTCTGTCCGAAGTCAACAGAACACCCCTTCGAGGGGTTCTGGCCGAAGCCAACAGAACACCCTTCGAGGGGTTCTGTCCGTAGCCAACAGAACACCCCTTCGAGGGGTTCTGTCCGTATCCAACAGAACACCCCTTAAAAGAGTCTTCCCTTTATAAGGGGGTGAAAATCCCTTGAGTTTTTCGGTGTGGGATAAAACACACTAGAAACTCACCATTTTCCCAGTTTTTCCATTTCAACGAGTGAACTTCGAGAGTCAATTTCTCATTCACCCGTTATCCATTTTGAGTGTACCACATATCGAATTGTAGCTCTTAACAAGGACAATCCGAAACCACTTTGACCCGACCCAAATCGGAAGTGGACCCCACTCAAATAATTGCCCCAAAATGACCACTTAATGCAATTTTTAACACATTTTTTCAACAATCCCCCACATGAATGAAAATTGATTTTCGGGACTTAAAAAGACACGAAGATAGGAGGACACGTTGTGTTCACCGGATGATCCTTGCATACGGAGAGGTAGGTTTTATCCTTTGAACCTTCCGTTGTAAAGACACGTTTATTTACTGGCTGTCTAGTAGACTCGATGTCCTTGAACTATACTGCCGTCGTGTAAACATTGACTTATCTTTAAACAAGAACCTTCCAACTTTGTTCCGTTCTCATGGGTGTGCCCGTTTTGGCCATGGGTCACCGTCCTGGTTCTGCAAGAGTTTCTAAAGAACTGAGCCTTTACAGTTCTCCTTTGAAGCGGCTCTCTTCTCTCTCACATAGGTGATTCTTTCACGAGTATCCCGCATAATCTTCCAATGTTATCGAATAGATCAACATTTTAGAATCATTAAAGCAATTTTTTTTTCTAACCTCGTGCGGGAGTCACTGTTTTAAACGAGGAGTGGGTAGGAGTCCGGGACCCCCACAGTGACCATCCTTCGCTCTATAATTTAGTTGTCCCTTTTGAACCTAGGACCAACTAGGTTGGGTATCCACTATAGAACTTTTCAATTCACGGGCTTTAGTCCCATTCCTCGTGACAACTTCTCCAACAATTCTCTATCCAATGCCTTGGTTAGCGGATCCGCTATGTTATCCTTTGACTTCACGTAGTCAACAGTGATAACACCCGTTGTGAGGAGTTGTTTAATGGTGTTATGTCTACGACGAACGTGTCTAGACTTACCATTGTAGAGATTGCTCTGTGCCCTTCCAATTGCCGCTTGACAATCGCAATGCATGCATATTGGAGGGACAGGCTTCTCCCAACTTGGAATATCCTCGAGAAAATGGCGTAGCCATTCAGCCTCTTCAGTGCACTTGTCCAAGACTATTAGCTCAGACTCCATCGTGGATCTAGCTATTAACGTTTGTTTTGAGGATTTCCATGACATGGCTGCACCTCCCAAAGTGAAGACATATCCACTTGTGGACCTGGAGTCCTTTATGTCGGATATCCAACTAGCGTCGCTATACCCTTCAAGTACAGCTGGATATCTTCCATAGTGCAGTCCAAGGTTTTGGGTTTTACGTAAATACCTCAAAACCCGTATTATTGCCTTCCAGTGTTCATCACCGGGGTTGCTAGTATATCTACTTAGCTTACTAACCACAAAGGCAATATCAGGCCTGGTACAACTCATTAGATACATCAAACTTCCAATAATCCTAGCGTATTCAACTTGAGAAATACACTCTCCACGATTTTTGGTAAGATGAGTGTTTTTATCTAATGGCGTCCTTGCCTCTTGATAATCATCCTTATTAAATTTAGTAAGGATTTTATCAACGTAATGGGATTGGCTTAGCGTTAGACCGTCAGGTCCTCTAATTATTTTAATCCCAAGGATTAAATCGGCCAGCCACATATCCTTCATGTCAAATTTAGAATTTAACATGCTTTTGGTAGAATTAATCATTAGATTATTGCTACCCACGATGAGTATATCATCCACGTATAAACATAAAATGACATAACCGTCTACCGTGCTCTTCACATAGACGCATTTGTCACTTTCGTTTATTTTAAACCCATTAATTAACATTGCATGATCAAACTTTTCGTGCCACTGTTTAGGGGCTCGTTTCAATCCATACAATGATTTAATTAATTTACACACTTTCCTTTCTTGGCCTGGAACACGAAAGCCCTCGGGCTGTTCCATATAGATTTCTTCGTCTATATCGCCATTTAGAAAAACGGTTTTTACGTCCATTTGATGAACTTCCAATTTCCGCAATGCGGCAATTGCTAGTATCATCCTAATGGAATTTATTCTCATCACAGGAGAATACATGTCAAAGTAATCATGGCCCTCACGTTGCTTGTATCCCTTGATTACAAGTCTGGCCTTGTACTTATCGATGGAACCGTCAGGTTTCATTTTCCGTTTAAAAATCCACTTGGATCCCAAAGGTTTATTTCCCGGAGGAAGATCAACCAATTCCCATGTGTGATTTTTAAGGATAGAATCCACCTCACTTTTGATGGCTTCTTTCCACATAGGACCTTCAGTCGACGTCACGGCTTCCGTATAAGTCCGTGGCTCATTTTCTACCAAACATGTTAGAAAATCCGGTTCATTTTCTACCATACATGTTAGAAAATCCGGTTCATTTTCTACCATACATGTTAGAATATCCGATTCAACTTCTACCAGGTAGGTGAGAAAATCCGGTCCGAAAGATTTTTCAATTCTAGCACGTTTGCTACGTCTGGGTTCGGGTTCTTCTCCGGATCCCTCGCTAGTATTTTCCATAGCTACGTCAAATGTTCGTTTTGACGTGCTAGGCCCTTCGTCGGACTTGCATGGAAATACATCTTCAAAGAATGAAGCATTTCTTGATTCAATTATTGTGTTTTTATGTACATCCGGATTATTCGAATCGTACACTAAAAACCGATACGCACTACTATTTTGTGCATATCCAATGAAAATACAATCCACCATTTTTGGACCTATTTTTATTTTCTTAGGTGTTGGTACAAGCACCTTAGCAAGACACCCCCACACTTTTAAATATTGATAGGAAGGCCGTCTGCCTTTCCACAACTCGTACGGAATTTTATCATATTTTTTCCGGGGAACCTTATTTAAAAGGTAATTGCTTGTCAAGATTGCTTCGCCCCACATATTTTGTGGCAAGCCCGAACTTACTAGCATCGCGTTCATCATATCTTTCAATGTGCGATTCTTTCGTTCGGCAACACCGTTTGATTGAGGTGAATAGGGTGCGGTACGTTCGTGTACTATACCCACACTAGCGCAAAAGTCACCAATTTGTGCTTCATACTCACCACCTTGATCACTCCTAACCGTTTTAATCCGTTGATTAAGTTGGTTTTCCACTTCATTCTTATAAAGAATGAATTTATCGATTGCTTCGTGTTTATTTTTTAATAAATAAACGTAGCTATAGCGAGTGCTATCATCGATAAAGGTAATAAAATATTTATTACCGCCACGTGTTTCTATTGATTTAAAATCACAAACGTCACTATGAACTAATTCAAGTGGTTCCGTTTTTCTTTCAATCGATTTGAAAGGCGTTTTCGTTAGTTTTGCCTCTACACAAACTTCACATTTGTGCTTCACATCAATTGTGAATTTAGGAATGTAACACCGCCCCCGAGTATTTGTACTGTACCAAATCATGTATTGGACCTTGAGAAATGTATAAAAGCATTTTTACGTGATTGAAAATTTTTATCATTTCTATTACGTGAATAGTAAAATTTACGTGGGGCCCACACCGGATGTGGGGCCACCCAATATTATCGGGACCACATATTATATTAATCTTGGACTAGATAATATGTATATGGTGGTGGATATCCTAATTGGGCCATGACAATGGCACAGGGTTGACCGGTTGGTCAAACGGGCCAAATTATCGGTATCGACAATTTATCAGATAACAGCCCAAAAAGGGATTCTGAGAACCTATAAATTAAAGTTGAGGATTGCATAATGATTCTAAGGCCCAATAAGGATTGGGAACGAGTGTTATATTTTATTTGACCCGATAAAATAAAATATACTTAAAACAGTCCGGAAAATACAACTTTCGGGGTCGATTGTACACCTCGGGACACAAAGGGTTGACCTCCCACATAAGTGGGGGCCAACCCACGTTTTTGGGCTGCAAGTGAATAAGGGGAGCCGAACATTAACATGAGGAAGAGGGGAGAAAGGACTGGGAGACCAAATGTGATAGGAGAAGGGTCCCTCCCCCACATTATTGGTGAATAAGCCAAGAGGAGTATCTCTATCACTCCTAAACCCATAAGCTCGGCCAACCAACCTAAGTAAGAGAGATAAGGTCTGGAAATACTCCATTTTCATCCACCATCTACGCACTTGAGCTAAGGAGGAAGAAGGAGGGGAAAAGAGAAGAGGAAAAGTTGGTTTTGGAGAGGAAAACTTGTGTTTAGCAAGGTAAGGACTCCATTAATCCCATTTCTTGTTCTTCAATACTCTTTTATGATTATTCAATCATATTTCACACCCTAGTAATGTTCTACACGTTGGGATGTGTAGAAAGAGGGGTTGGAAGGTAGTTCTAAGTCCAAGAACGGACTTAGAAGCCAAAGTGACCGGTTCGCCGGAAAATAACCTTTTTGAGGTTATTTGTATTACTATGGGTTTTATGATGATAAAACCTTGTTAGTAACTTGTCTAAGGTATTCAAGGAACTTTCACGGAGTTGAAAAGGTCGCCGGAGTTCGTTGAAGTTCGCCGGAGTTTCGTCGGAGCTAAATCGGGAAGGCTAGAACTTCATAAGCTTCATTAAGGTGAGAAGACGGCTTTATGCTTTATAACTTTTGCGTGAGGCATGAGATTACCTAAAGTAATCAGGAATATGTTTTGTGGAATGATTAAAGATAACCAAGTGTGTGCTTATGCCATGATTATACATAAAACATAATTGAAAAGCATGTTATGTAGGTTTGGTGATAAAAAATGTGATAACTTCTTATGTGTGATGTTCCAGGGATCCAAAATGGTATTTTTGTATCAAGGACGTCAAGAAGTATAAGTGTATAAAATTTCACGTTAATCGGACTTCGTTTGGGCGGTCAAACGAGCGTTGACCGCCAAGACAAAGGTGATACCCGACCGGGTATGGGTGAATACCCGACCGGGTTTTGATTAAAAATGGCTCCAGAAGCCACTGCCACACTAGACCCGACTGGGTATGGGTGTAGACCCGACCGGGTCTCAAGTAAAGTTGGCTCTAGGGGCTACTGCCTCACCCCACCCGACCGGGTAAGGTTGGATACCCGACCGGGTATTGGGTTAAGCTCAGAATTGGCAGTTTTGAGTAGGTTAACGTGGGTCGTTCGGGTGGGACCCGCCCACGTTGGATCCTAAGGATTGCCCATAGTTAAAGGAATGAAAGGTTAGCCATATCCAGGTTAGGATTTGGTAGAGAATAGACTGGGGATTGAGTGCCCTTGGACGGTAAATGATCCAGAATACTCCAGGTGGGGTCGAGTACCCTTGGACGGTAAATGATCCAGAATACTCCAGGTGGGGTCGAGTACCCTTGGACGGTAAATGATCCAGAATACTCCAGGTGGGGTCGAGTACCCTTGGACGGTAAATGATCCAGAATACTCCAGGTTGGGTCGAGTACCCTTGGACGGTAAATGATCCAGAATACTCCAGGTGGGGCCGAGTACCCTTGGACGGTAAATGATCTTAAATACTCCAGGATGGGTTGAGTGTCTTGGACGGTAAATGATCCTAAAACACTCGGTAGTATGAATCGAAGGTAGACTATAGCTTGTGAGCTAGGTAACCGGGAAAGGAGTGAGAAAAGTCAGGTAAGAACTTTATCTCTAAAAGACTCTTTAAGGTAAATGACCTACGGGTTGAGTATTTTACGAGTATATATATACCGTATGTATCATCGGGTGGATGAGGGACATCTATATGTATATATCACCCTATTTTTGGGTCTTGTGTCTGAAACATTAGTTATTCTTCATATAGCCTGCTTGTCACTAGTACTTCTATGGAGTACTGACCCCTCCGGGGGCCCTCACATTTTTCAGGTTGAGGCTAGAGTCCTACTACCTGCACCTTTGCCTAGGGTGATCATTCGAGGAGGAAGACGTGGTTCGTGCTTCCATTCATATTTCAAATGTATAAACTGCTCATGGATTTTTGAACAATGTTTTCATTAAAACAGTTGGGGGCCTGCGTGCCTGTGTTTGCCACGTGTGGCTAAGTATCAAACATTTTATTATTTCCGCATTTGTTTGATTATGATATTGATGTTGATTGTATGTGTTTACTAATCGGTTTGGCAATAGAATCAATCGGACGCCTTGTACAACTCAATAGGGATGAACTATTGTTGTTCTTATCGGGTTGTACGGCGGTTGTCTACGTGGCTCGGACGCGGTCCGGGGCGTGAAAATTAAGTGGTATCAGAGCCATCGATTTCTAAACTATATAATTAACCTCTCAATATGGTTATCCTCAAAAAAGTTTTGAATAAAACCATGAGCAAAAGTTTTTGTACTTAAGGAACCGTTGGAAACCAAGTTATTGACCTCTTATTGTTAAGACGGTACCCTTAACAGTTTGTTGGCCATAATGTTGGATCAAGTGGTGTCTTTGATACTAATCCGTCAATTGACATTGAAACGAGTCTAATGACTCATTCCTTATTTCTTTCAGAAATGGAGGGTGGACGCAGGATTACTAGGAGGAACCCGACAGGGCATGTGCCGGGGGCCACCGGGCATGCCACTCGGGCGGAATCACGGACCTCTAGGGGTAGAGGCCGGGGCCAAAGCCGAGGAGGAGGCCGAGGCAGGGGTCGTGGGCGTTCTACCACGCCGACGGCAAGTAGCACGCGTGTCGGTTCTGTGCACCCATCTAGGGCCACCGAACCGGACGATTTCACATATGCTCCAAGCACGGAGCAAGAGGAGACCCGTACAACGGGGAGGACTTTGAGGAAGAAGATGAGGATGATGATCCTCATTATGACCGTATGAGTGAGGTACTGGAATGGTACCTCGAGAATAAGGCAAGGAGGGAACAGCGGCGCCAAGCTAGACAGGCTAGGCAAACCATGGGGCAGGGAAGCCGAGGTGCTTCTAGTGCTCCATCGGGGGCATTTGGAGGAGACACGATGGTGCGTATCTCCAAGTACCTCAAGGAGGCCAGGGCCTTGGGGTGCAAATCATTTGATGGCAAGGGCGACATATCTGAGGCCGCCGACTGGATTAAGAAGCTGAATGATGCACCAGGCTACTAGAAGGGGTAGCTGCTGTATGGTGGGAAGGCGTGGAGGGAAAGTTCCACGGTGAAGCCACTGTTAGTATATTATGTCCTAGAGACAATCATTTTTTAGAGATATATGTACTTGATCACATTCAGTTTTATATATTTGATATAAACGGTATTACACATTGATGATTAAGTATTTCGATTGCCAATATCTTATTCATAATTGTGTTCCCTTGGATTTATGTTGTCACTAAGTAAGTGAGAGCTTATATGATATAACATAAAGTCCTAAAATAGCCTCAATCAATGATCATCAAGAAAGGGATATTGATGATATGCGATAAGATTGGTATGTGGACTGCATCATACTTTTAGAAAGTATAGTTGATCTCACAACTATGAATTCCTGTAATTCATGATGGTCACATAGATATTTTAGAGAATATTGGCATACCCACCGAGAAACCATTTGATAAGTTCTATTCATGTGTCTATGGGATTATCGGCGTATAGAGTAGTGTAATAGTCCTCCGACTTGAGGTCAATACGTACTACATGTGCAGAGTGATGTACTTTGACCATGACCAACGCTTGCACTCCAATCGGGGTAGATACGACATGTGTTGGGTGCATCACGAAGCACATGGAGTAGTAGTTGAGCCAAGAAAGGATTCATTCCTCATAATAGATTAGGAGAGAACATTCTACTTCTCATATCTAGATGGATCATAAAGTCATTGGCCAATGCAAAGATATATTCGTTTTGGATATCGAATATGATCGTTAAAGATCATCTAGAAAGATTGAGAGACAGAGACTGAGTTATTGGAATAGACACAATATCATGTTCTAGACTTAGTCGAATGTTCGCTGAATGAAAGGACCGTATCACTATGAACTCTATATTACAGGGAGTTTGAATAGTCCTCGCAAACGTCCTTATATGTTAAGTTTGTCTGGTAAATCGTCTAGGGATTTTACTAAGACCTTAATTTGATTAGTGCTTAATATACAAGGCCCTATGGGTCACACAACAAGTGATTATACCTTCCGATTGAATTGTTAGAAGGAATTAAATATTATTAATTGGATTAAATAATATTTAATTCGTAATACTGAAAATGGATTAAATATTAATTAGATTAGACGTATTTAATTCATAAAGGTGAAGGAGAGTTCTATTTGATAGAATTAATTAAGTAAGATAAATTAGATTTATCATACTTAAATAAGATGTATTTATTATTAAATAAAGTAGATATTTTCTTTTGTAATTTGGAATTAAAAAGAAAAAGTAAATAAAATAAATAATAATATATAATAATTAGAAAGTGGTGTGCAGCCACATCTCAATTATTATTATTATTATTATTATTTTGTTTTGTTTTATCTAATTATTTAATTAATTAGGAGTATTGGTCCTAGCAGGACTAGAACTCATTAATGAGAAAGACTTTCATTGTGATTAGGAAACTAGTTTAGAACTAGTATAAATACATACTCCTCCTTCATAATTCATTGTAGAATTTTAGATTCAGTATTACCAGTTTATTTCCCTGCGAAGAGATTTCCTAGCCTTTCTCTAAAGGGAGATCTAATCGTTCTTTCGGAGAGGAGAAATCACGTGGATACCTAAGGTCAAGGATTATCACCGCTAGGCTGGAAGATCTGTAAGTTCTAAATCTGTTATTATTATCATATTCGTTGTTTTGTCATAATCAGGAAAGATCTGTTTGGAAAAATTTTAAACTTCCGCTGCCGTACTTTCGAGGTACGTTACACCAATTTCCTAACAGTGGTATCAGAGCCAAACTGATTTTAATGGCATCATGCGAATTCTTGATGATATTTTTGTGTCTGCAATATTTTAATTTCAAAAATATATACGCCGTATATGTGATTTTGAATATCAACTTCTGAAATTGGATTATAAGTGATCTTTTGAGATCACGTAATACGTAAATATAATTGGAAATCTACAAAACTGCACACTAGTTTTTCAATGTTGGAGATTAGAAAACTTTTACGGAGTAACAAAAAAAAAATACAATCTCCAGGAAAGGCGCAAATGCGCAAAACGCAGTTTTTTTTTTTTTTATCTTGCTTCTAAATTTTGGAACCAAGCCATTCTTATGGAAGATCTGCATGTGGTTTTCCTACGAGAAATTAGGTTTCGTATTTTGAGTTTAGGAACCTCGTGCAGTTGTGATTGGTGATGACCTAAACTTTGTAAAACTCTTCATCTGTATTGGTGATGACCTGCTGTTGTAGTGTTGTTTATACGAAGCACTAATTTTTATGAACTCGTTTTTGAGTAGGAGACTATGTTCATATTATGTATTTTGGTATAATAATAAAACATATTGTTTTGGTTATTGTACTCCGTAATAATTAAATTAAACTAACTTTATATTAATTAGATTAATGATCTTAGAGATTCAATAAGTTTAATTTAATGAACATGTATTTACTGATGATTACTATTTTTTTAGCTTACTTAAATTATGTTATTAATTTTTGAATATTGTGTCTCTTATAAATTAGATTTATATTCCATGCTTTAAATTATATGTTTGAGTTAGATCTCATTAACATATTATTTGATAATATGTTATTAGCATCTTGATTAAATAGAATAATTTAATGCCCTGCTAAACGTTCCCCATAAATGAAAATTTAAGTCTTATCTAGGATAACGACATCACCCATCACAATTAAATTAGTAGAAATATTTTTTCGTTGAAGAATATTTCACCCAAGTGTTTATTCTATTCGACAAAATATAGAACTAATTTATAGATACATATGTTTGTGATCGTGTGATGGTTTTGACTTACTTAAATTAGCTCGAGTCGCCCAAGCGTCAGGGTTAATTTAGGGATGTCGATCAATTTGAAAATTGATCAACCAAGAATTGCTTGGATGCAATTGGTCTAGGGACCTACCCATTATATTATTGCAGTGATCAGCCCAAGCTGGGACTGTAATAGTATGAATGTGGATCTTGGCCACTATGATTCTAGAAACATTCCATGTTCTTTTTATTGGGGTCAAAGAGCATGCAAAATAGTGGGAGCCAAATAATTAAAAGTCCATATTATTTGGTTAACTAGATGTGATCATAGGAATTAATATATGATTTTAATTCCGTTCTATTTGAATTTCTTTAGGCTTTTAGGAATGTCGAATTTATCATTGAGAAGTATCTTGGATACATGCAAGCTTACTGGACCAAACTTTCTGGACTGGGAAAGAAATGTGCGTTTAGTTCTTAGACAAGAAAATATTGAGTATGTGTTAGACACGCCGGTACCCAAGATTCCTGATGCTAACTCTCCCGAGTTTGCCACGTTTGACCTGACTGCTCGAGAGAAACACGTTACTGATGCTAAAACTGTGCAATGTGTTATGTTGGCTGCAATGTCTATGGAGTTGCAAAGGCAACACGATAGGATGAGCGCCTTCGAGATGCTTGAACACTTGAAAAGTCTGTTTGATTCAGAGAGTCAGACTCTAGAGTATGAACTTCTGACAGACATTTTCAAGTGTAGGCTTCAAGAGGGTGGCAACGTGTCTGAGCACGTCCTCAAAATGATTGGCTTAATTGAAAGAGTTGCTACCACCGGAATTAAGTTTGAGGATCGTGTCTCAGCTGCTATCATCCTATATTCGCTTCCGAGTTCATTTACTAACTTCATTGTGAATTATAATTTGAACAAAACGAAAGCGACCATGCCTGAACTCCATAACATGCTCAAGTCTTATGAAGCCTCAACCTCTAAAGGAAAGACTGTTCTTATGGTAAGCTCTAATGCTAAGTCTCGTTCTAAGAACAAGAATAAGCAAAAGAAGAAAGGTAAGGTTGGACCTACTCCTACAGCTCTTAAGCCTAAAGGTGGAGGTCATATGAAGCCAAAGGTTGCAAAGGATGTTTGCCTCTACTGCAAAGAGAAGGGGCATTGGAAGAGAGATTGTGAGTTGTATAAGGCTAATCTAGCCAAAGCACCGGGTGCTTCAAGCTTAGGTATTTTTATCATTAAATAAATATGTCTATAACTAACTCTCATTGTTAAAGTATTAGATACAACTTATGGCTTACACATTTGTAAAAATGTGCAGAAGCCTGAGAAGCAGTGTAGCAGTTGGACTGGGTAAAATTGACCTACACGTGAAGGCTGGAGCAAAAGTTGCTGCTGAACGTGATATGATCTTATAGTTTAGATTTGCCCAGTGGTTTTAGATTAGAATTAAATAATTGTTATTTTATTCCTTCTATTACCAAGAAGATTATTTCCATTCATATGTTAGACATTAAAAGATTTCTATTTCCATTTTGCTAATAATAATTATTATTTTCATAAAATGGTGTTGTTGTGGAAATGCTTTTCTTATGAATGGTTAATTATCAATCGACATATTAGATATTAAATGAATAAAATAAAAGGATCTCGATTAAGTAATCAGAAAATTACTACCTATCTATGACATTGCAAACTTGGTCAAATTAATGAAACAAGAATAGCAACGTTAAATGAATTAGATTATTTAACACCATTTGCTTTTGAGTCATATGGAAATTGCAATCTTGTCTTTCAAGCAACTTGACTAATAATCATTTTCTAGGAAAAAGGATAGCAAGCCAAAGAGTACTTCAGTAAAATTTCTGATTTATTTAAAAGGTCAAAGAATTCGGTCATAATGAACTCCTCCAGAACACCTTAGAAGACTGGCGTTTCTGTAAGGAGAAATAGAGCTTTGTTAGACATGGCTAGATCTATGATGAATTCATTTTCTCTTCCAAACATTCTTTTGAGGGTACACGCTATAAATCTCACTACACATTCTGAATAGTTTGATTAGTGCAAAATGTACTACATGAGTTATAGCATGATAAAAGACATGTTTTTCACATATTAAATATGGGTTGCCCTGCATATGTAAAGAAATGTGCACTAATCAAATTGAAAGCTGAAGTAACATAAAGAATGAAGATTTTTTAGATGGTCTAACGAAGGATTCGGTGGGAGAATTGACTTGAAGAATGTCTCTAGGAGGATATCCTTCAGCTAGTGGGAGTAATATAGGAATCACCTCGCACCAGCAAGTGATTCTTATTAAAGATAAGATGACATGGTTGTCATTCCTTTTGCACCCACTTCTCTTTCTCTGGAAACACTTAAAAGTGTATCACCAGAAAACTCTCTAAGCATTGGATAGTCCAATAAAAGAGAATCTCTTCACGATCAGAATGAACAGCCTGAACAAAACGCAAAACATTCAACTCTGTGGGTCTACTAGGATTCATCATGAACTAACTAGGTTAGGCTTCCTCATGGAGGATCATGATGATGTTGAAATTCCTGACAAGGATGAACCTAAGACTTACACTGAAGCAATATTAGATATTAATTCAGAGAGGTGGCGAGAGGCCATGAAATCTGAAATGGACTCGATGTATATCAATCAAGTATGGAACTTGGTTGACTTGCCTGTTGGGGTTAGACCCATTGGATGCAAATGGGTTTTCAAGAAGAAAATTGATGCCGAAGGCAAGGTGCAAACATACGAAGCTGGGCTAGTGGCTAAAGGTTATAGTCAAATGAAAATGAATTGACTATAGTGATACTTGTTCGCCAGTTGCAAAACTGAAGTCCATTCGGATTTTGTTTGTGATAGCCGCATACTATGATTATGAGATTTGACAAATGGATGTCAAAACCCATTTCCTTAATGGAAACCTCAAGGAGGAGGTGTACATGGTACAACCTGAAGTTTTTTGAATCCAAGTCAAATTCTAAATCATTATGTTAATTAGAGAAATCTAATTATGGGCTATAACAAGCCTCTAGGAGTTGAAATATTAATTGTGATGAAATAGTCAAATCGTTTGACCTCATCAAATGAAATGAGGGTGCTTGCGTGTTTAGAGTGCGCAACAAGGATAGCGTGGTCTTTATAATCATATATGTTGATCATAGAGAATGATATTCCCTCATTGAAGTCCGTGAAAGAATGGTCACCCAAAATCTTCATGAATATCTTTTGTCTATGGTAGACAGAAAGAACTAGTAGAATTTAATTATTCTATCACTAGTTTCATGGATGATAAGAAAGACTACAAGTCACAGTCAGTATATGTTTTTAGTCTCAATGTAATAGTAGTGCTGAAAGAGTTGCAAGTAAGAAACTACTATAAATTCGAAAACTAGAGCCTAGTAAATTGTTGCATTTGATGCAACATAGGTAAGCGTTTAGATACGTTAGTTCCTTAAAGAAATAGGTGTAGTTCCTAGCGACAGTTATCCAAAAATTGTTTTTGTGACTGTACCGGTGTTTTTGCACAAGCTAAGGAACCAAGATGCAAAGTAAGGAACTAGAAAATACCAGTATGCTATCATGTTTTGATACAAATAGCAAGATGAGAAGTTGCAATAGAACACATTCCCGTAGAGGACAATTTGGCTGGCTCATTCACCAAACCCTTGAGATGTGAGAAACACACTAGACTTTTGAGAGTCTAGGTGTTAGACGCATCAGTGATTGGCACTAGGCCAAGTGGGAGATTGTTAGTATATTATGTCCTAGCGACAATCATTTTTTAGAGATATATGTACTTGATCACATTCAGTTTTATATATTTGATATAAACGGTATTACACATTGATGATTAAGTATTTCGATTGCCAATATCTTATTCATAATTGTGTTCCCTTGGATTTATGTTGTCACTAAGTAAGTGAGAGCTTATATGATATAACATAAAGTCCTAAAATAGCCTCAATCAATGATCATCAAGAAAGGGATATTGATGATATGCGATAAGATTGGTATGTGGACTGCATCATACTTTTAGAAAGTATAGTTGATCTCACAACTATGAATTCCTGTAATTCATGATGGTCACATAGATATTTTAGAGAATATTGGCATACCCACCGAGAAACCATTTGATAAGTTCTATTCATGTGTCTATGGGATTATCGGCGTATAGAGTAGTGTAATAGTCCTCCGACTTGAGGTCAATACGTACTACATGTGCAGAGTGATGTACTTTGACCATGACCAACGCTTGCACTCCAATCGGGGTAGATACGGCATGTGTTGGGTGCATCACGAAGCACATGGAGTAGTAGTTGAGCCAAGAAAGGATTCATTCCTCATAATAGATTAGGAGAGAACATTCTACTTCTCATATCTAGATGGATCATAAAGTCATTGGCCAATGCAAAGATATATTCGTTTTGGATATCGAATATGATCGTTAAAGATCATCTAGAAAGATTGAGAGACAGAGACTGAGTTATTGGAATAGACACAATATCATGTTCTAGACTTAGTCGAATGTTCGCTGAATGAAAGGACCGTATCACTATGAACTCTATATTACAGGGAGTTTGAATAGTCCTCTCAAACGTCCTTATATGTTAAGTTTGTCTGGTAAATCGTCTAGGGATTCTACTAAGACCTTAATTTGATTAGTGCTTAATATACAAGGCCCTATGGGTCACACAACAAGTGATTATACCTTCCGATTGAATTGTTAGAAGGAATTAAATATTATTAATTGGATTAAATAATATTTAATTCGTAATACTGAAAATGGATTAAATATTAATTAGATTAGACGTATTTAATTCATAAAGGTGAAGGAGAGTTCTATTTGATAGAATTAATTAAGTAAGATAAATTAGATTTATCATACTTAAATAAGATGTATTTATTATTAAATAAAGTAGATATTTTCTTTTGTAATTTGGAATTAAAAAGAAAAAGTAAATAAAATAAATAATAATATATAATAATTAGAAAGTGGTGTGCAGCCACATCTCAATTATTATTATTATTATTATTTTGTTTTGTTTTATCTAATTATTTAATTAATTAGGAGTATTGGTCCTAGCAGGACTAGAACTCATTAATGAGAAAGACTTTCATTGTGATTAGGAAACTAGTTTAGAACTAGTATAAATACATACTCCTCCTTCATAATTCATTGTAGAATTTTAGATTCAGTATTACCAGTTTATTTCTCTGCGAAGAGATTTCCTAGCCTTTCTCTAAAGGGAGATCTAATCGTTCTTTCGGAGAGGAGAAATCACGTGGATACCTAAGGTCAAGGATTATCACCGCTAGGCTGGAAGATCTGTAAGTTCTAAATCTGTTATTATTATCATATTCGTTGTTTTGTCATAATCAGGAAAGATCTGTTTGGAAAAATTTTAAACTTCCGCTGCCGTACTTTCGAGGTACGTTACACCAATTTCCTAACAGCCACTTGGGAGAAATTCGAAGTGGAGTTCTATAATCAGTACTACTCAACTTTTGAAGTCAATCTCAAAAGAAGAGAGTACACGAACCTGAAACAAGAGGATGGTTGCTCGGTGAGGCAATTGGAACAAAGGTTCCGTGACTTGGCACGATTCATCCCAGAATACTCATTGGATGAAAATCATATGGCCAATCACTTTTGGGATGCTCTACAGTTGGACATCCGTGACCGGGCTACTTACCATCACAGTATGACATTTAGCCAAATCGTTGATCAGGGGCTCCTTGGGGAAGCCCAATGGAACGAGAGGAAGTTGAGGGACGCCGAGGGGGCGAAGAAAAGAAGATGGGGAAATGTTGGACCCCAAGACCACTCCCGGAAGCATCATGTTGGGGGTGGCAGTTCATTCAGGGCGCCGGCACCACCGGCGAAAAGGAATAAAGGCTCAGGAGGGCAATGGGCCAAACCAGGGAGTACGTGGTCACCGAGGTGTGCAAACTGCGGCAAGAATCATGCGGGGAAGTGCAATGA